GTCTGTCCGGGCGATGGGCCTGTCCCCCCGGGGGCGGCCGAAATTACGACCCCAGCCGCCACCGAAGACGTTCCTTGAAAAGGAAGAAGATGATAGGAGCGAGTCGAGCTCGGACCTGTTCGAGATCGAGAGCGTGACGATGAGTCGTGCGGGGTACGAGCCGAGCGGGGCGAGCATAGCGTGGAGTGTGGTGACGGCGAGCGCCGCCAATGTGTCGGTGGCGTCGGATGGGAGTTGGGAGATTGGGAAGGGGAGAAGGAAAAGCGCCGGGCTTTTGCTCGCCGGATGTTCCAGTCATAAGGCGGTGGAAGTGAGCACTACGACGGCGGCTGTGGAGGTGGCAGAGAGCTCCATATCGCCGGTGGTGGCCAGATACCATGTTGACTTGGAGGCTGGTGGTGGGTCGGGCCGGATTGTTGCAGGCCGGGCCAAGGGGACGTCGTGGCACAGTGGGTCGGGCAGAATGATAGTGCTGTGATTGTATCGTAAGCTGCTATTGTGATAATTTGTAGGTGAATAATTTGGGTTAAATTCTCTGGTTTTAAATGTATGGTTGATGTGTATAGTATATAGTGCTTGAAAGTTAATTGTATTGTTGCTATATTTCAATAAGACATGCTTTTTAGTGCTTGACCCAATTCTATTGGTAAAGAAAACAGTACAAAAAATGTACAATTATAGGTCAAAAGTAGTAAAGAAAACAGTACAAAAAATGTACAATTATAGGGTTTAGGGTTAAGGCCAAACCGATAAAGTTTCATTATTAAAATACCAAATATAATATAAACAAAAATAAGACCAAAAATATAAGAGGACCAAATACAAACAAGTTTTTTGAGCTTCAAGACTGAGTTCAATAAGCAAGAGGACCAAATACAAACAAATATTTTGAGGTCGATATATAAACGAGCCGAACACGAACACTGAAACTTTTTAACAAGCCAAGTCTAGACTACTCAAGCTCGGCTCTTTTACACCCCTGCGGCTGCATGCATTACTAGGATTGCCAAAATGGTTTTTTTTTTCGAGAACAGCTCGTGTTTGGCTAGCTAAGCAAACTAACCGAAATTGAGCAAATTTTTTTTTTTGTTTGAAATATAAACAAGCCGAAACAATAATAGTGGTATTTTTTAACGAGTTGAACACAAGCTGAGCCCAGGCTCACTCGTGTTCGGCTCATTTACAGCCCTACTTTTACATGCAAGATTATAGCAAAAAAATAAAAAATTAAAAAAAAATATTAATTTCTTAACATAATTGAAGTTAAAGAATAGTCTAAAAAAATGGGAATCAAAAAGATTATCCACATGAGAAGGCACAGCCAGCATCAAAGCACTAAAAAATGTCACACCCAAATAAGAAAGGAAGCGGCTCATAAAATAAACACCAACCATATGGAGACGTACATAATTGACAATTTCTAAAGTTTAAACCAAAAATGCATCTAAACAAGTGTGGGGGGCACAAATGAAAAAGAGGTACAGTGGATGCACCATCCATTGTCAGGCATAATGATGCTCAAGAATCTCAATTATAGTCTATAAATGACAAATATATTGTTGAATTATGACTTGTTTATGAATTACATCTCAAGCGATAAATTATAAGAAATTAAAGATAAACTAAGAGAAATGAACATTAAAAACGTCTTGCCTATTGCCCTTTTATTATGAAATAAACTTCTTATTTATAAGAGAGATTGTATAATATGTGATATAGTACATTTTTGCCTCTTCTTTAATGGGGTCGTAATAGGATATTATATGTATTTTACATATGTCATTCTATTGCTTGGCTGCTCTATGACTGAGTCGGTTGGGCTAACATGAATTTGGCTCAGCAAGGTCAGTTCCTTCGGGTTCACTGAGTGGCACAACCAATCATTTAGATTCAATTGGCTTCGAGTCGGTAGTACTGACTCGAACAGCTAGGCTTTGCCAATCGGTTGGTTTAGTCTAACTGTCAACCCTCAATCCCTATATGAGGAACTTCTCTCAGCAAAATGACACTAGGCTATTCAACAGAGGGCGGATTATCACAACTCGATAGATTGCTAATTCCTTAACAAGGGAGGTCTTTCGGCTCTGTTGCATTGTTAATTTTTGGTCCCTAATGAGAAATCTCGGAAGCGGCTATGAGACAGCAGGTGCTTGTGGGGAACTGGATTCTTTCCTCAAGTT